TAGTAGTTCAAATAGAAATGCAAAAGTAATAAGATCTTGAAAAGTCATTTTTTTAATTATTTATATATTCATATAAATAGAGATTTCTTTTTTGTATAAATTATTAGAGTTTTAAGTTTAGAAATAATGAAGGTTATCTTATAAAATAAAATACAAATGTTATTTCATAAATTTACAAATAATTTAAATTTTATAAATTTCATATCATTTTCATTTTCTTTAGTTTATTCGTATTATTATGTTATAAAATTTGTTTTATATTTGAAAATTTATATTTATTTTTATTAAAGTTAGAATTGAAGGTAAAGTATCTTTATTTATATTATTCATTCTACTAACCTATAAAAATATATTTAACATGAACTATTTCATATAGATAATTGTAAAATAATATTTGATATTATAATATATAATAATATCATACTATTACACATGTTCATATTGTAACTATTTTACTGGTTATTTTAAAATTTCTTTCATCTTTTAGTATTAAATATCCTTAAATATGAAATGGATATTATTTAATATTCTTATAAATATCTTTTTTTATTTGATTTAATATTAGAGTAGTTCCGATTCTATATTTGTAATCTGTAAATTTATTTTAATAAAATTAATAAATAATATTTTTTTTATAGTAATAAAAAAAAATTAGATTTATTTTTTTGTTTGAATTTTTTGAATTTGTTTCTTATTCATCAATAATTGAACTACTATATAGCATTTGTTTTCTTTTAATATCTTTCTTTAAATAAACATATAATTGTATATATTTTTTATATTTAGCTTCTAAAATAAAATTTAAAATTGAATCCAAAATCTTAATCTAAAATGATCAGTTTTAATTACTGATAATAATTGGTAAATTAAATCAATTTCAATTTTTTCCCATATTTTTAAAAAATGAATGTGATTGTGAAAGTATTTCTTACTCTATTTTTCCAAAATTTAAAGTTTCATCTAAATTAAATAGAATTGAAAGACATGTTTAAGTTTTTTACATAGCTATTTGATATTAATTGAAACATAATAAAGGAATAAAAACTAAATAGAATTTATATAAATTAATATATATTATAATTTAATAATATAAATGCTTATAGATAAATTAACATTAAACATACTTAGATTTTTTTTTTAAAAATAGAAGTAGATACAATATTTTTATTTAAATTAAAAATAATAAGTTCTTCTTTCAAATTTTCTGTAATTATATGGAAGAGTTTCCAGTAAAATCATATTATGAATTATATGATTTACTATGTTTTATGACTTAATTTTACTGAAAACATATCTCATATGAGAGCTAATCTATTAAAAATGGATTACGGGAATCTTTTAACAAAAAATGAGATTTTTTATTTATATTATAATAAATTAAATGAACTTTATTTGGTTAAATTTTTAGAGGCTATTAGCTTATTAATAAAACAAGTAATTTGGCTAACAAAAATGCTTAAATTTCTGTGTAATGTTAATCAAATATCTAAAATTAGATTTTATAGAAATGATCAATATAAATTTTAGCAATGATAAAAGAAGGAAATCTAAATTTTAGTCAAAATTTATATTATTAGAGCACTTGGTTAATCTCAATCATATGCACAAATTTGGCATAATAATAAAAATTAACAAAAATTTTGGATTTTCCTCTTTTTTACTGATTGCCTCCCATATATAAAAATGTTTCAGAGTATGGTTTTAATAGCAAAATCTCAAAAATCTCAAGTGTTACAAAATTGACGTAACAATATTTTTGACATGACGGATTTAATAGCAAAATATTAAATAATTTATAATTTCATTATTTTTAAAATAATTTAATATTTGTAAAAATAATTATTATAATAAAATGTTATATATATAAGATTAAAGTATCCCTTATTAATTGATTAGACTCAATATTATTTTTAGTGCAATTTTTTATTGGCTAAGTATGTTTATTGTGATATAACAATTCAGTATAGGAAATTATTAAAAATATATTTTTATACGATTTGATCAATCAAAAGATTTGATATATTAAACATTTAAAGATTTATTAGGTAATATAATACTCGCAATATTAGATATTTATACAATTTTATTTTGAAATAATCATTTTAATTTATATATAAAATAATTTTTAGACTTTAGACATTAATGTTACGATTTCAATAATATAATTATGATAAAATTAATTTAGCTTTATTATCAGATATTAGATATTAGAAAAAATTAACCATCCAATTAATTATAGCTGCATTACAATCACATTTATCTTTATTTGATGAATATTCTATCGAGAAATTTTATAATTTAGTTTATTGATATATAATAGCTAAAGTATTAAAATAAATAATTTATTAATTATGCATGATAAATATAACTATTCATATAATAAAAAAGTTTGGACATTTTAATTAAATAATCTACAATTTACTTATTACAACTATTTGATGAAATTTGGAAAAATTAAGGATAAGAGATTATAAAATTATAAGGCACTAGAAATCTAAAACTATTTTATTACTTTCCATTATTTGAAAAGAAATTTCCACTAGATGCTATTCCTTTGGGATATTCTACTAAACAATCACCTAATTTTAACAAATTTTGTAATGCTGAAAATTGTACAAATAATTATATTGAAAATGAAGAAGTATTTATTTGTGGATATACTTATTATCAACATTATTTTGTTATTATAGGTTTTAAATATATACACTGTTATAAATTTTTATCTAAATCAATTGATTCATTAGTTCAATCTTATAATGAATATCTTCATTTAAATGGAGATATCAATGATGAATTTAATAAAACAATTTCTAATACTGATGATAATGAAGAAATTGTAGAGCTAATAGTAATTTCTAATCAAATAGAAAATGATTTACAAAAAGCAATTAATGGTAATATCTTAATATTTTGTTATTTTATTAATAATACTAATAATATAAATCTAATTTTTTTTTTTAGATTTTATTCAAAAATTTTCTAAATCATAAAATGAACCATTAGTAAAAGAAACTTTATTATAAAATATCCGAATCCCACTTACTAATATTACAAATATTAATACTATTAATTCAAATAATATTTCTGAATTTTTTGAAAATATTAATTTAAAAAAGTTCTAAAACAAATATGTTTTATGAAACAAATTTAATTTTCTAGAATGAGCAGACCAGGATACAATTAATATTTTATTTGAAACAAAATTTGTTTCGTGATTTACAATTTTTATGATTAAATTTGATTGGATAATTACAGTATTTTTGTATTTTTGATTAACCAATAAGAGGATTTTTAACTATGCTAACTGAAAAATTTTAGCTTTGATTCAGGAATTATGAAATCAGCTATAATAAAGTTTTTGTATAATTATTTACTTAGTTAAAATTTATTATTATAATAGTAATTTGTCTGTTTGCAAGTTTACTTTGAATGCAAGAAAGGTTTTAAATATCAGTTTGTTATTATTTGCAATTTTTGTTAATTTAATTTACCTATTATTAAATTTTCCATATGTTCATATAATACTAAACTATACAAAACCTGTATGTTTTATGTTATATTTAATATTTCTATACAATTTCAGTACAATTTTTATATATTTCAAATTTCAAATTTTTTTCCTTTACGATTTCTTTATGTTAAAATTACTGTATGAAAAGTTGAAATAATTACACAAAAACTGCATGATTTCAGTATTCATTAGTACAAAATCCGTACGAAACCTGTAAACAATTTTTCATAGGGTCTTAGTTATTTCACAACCAGGAGATAAATGAGTAGATAATATTTCGTTAGGATAATTGTGATCAATTTACAAAATGATGAATTTATATAAGAACAAACAACAAAGTGAGAAAGTGAAGTGCTTCATAAATGAAAAATTATTCAGGCAAAGAAGGATGTAAGGATGTCGAAGGTTTTATAGAAATAATTCAAAGTGGAACAAATGACAGTATAAAAAAAAATATTCGGTTATAGTTTTTTTTTTCTGATTTACTTGAAATTATTAATGCAGAATTTGATTGGTCAATTAGTTTATGTAATTTCAGTAATGTATCTTAGTAAAAAAGATCACTACGCAAAACCTTTTGTTTTCGAGTAGCTTCATTTCTAACTTTGTTAGGTCAATGGCTTCTATCCTTAAACGAAGTTAGAATTTAAGGTGTGTAACATAAAACTAATCATTCGATTTTAATTCGGGTCTGGGATTTTTAAATAGGTAGGTAGATAAACTGTACGGTACGATCAGCTGAACTGTACTGTACGAAAGTAATTACAACCAATCATATTTCATTGTACAATAATTAAAAAAGTATACAATATATGATTGGTTACAATCACTTTCGTACAGTACAGTTCAGCTGATCGTACCGTACAGTTTATATGTATACTCTTTTTTAATTACTGATCGAAATCTTATAACCCGGGTTAGTTCGACGGCTCGGAGCCCTACAGTTAAGCTTTTTTTTTTTTTAAGAATTATTTTGCTATATTAATTGTTTTAAATATTTTTAATATACTTGAACATAAAGTTACCGTTTATTGCTGAATAAATTTTAGTTATGAATATACTTCGCCAGATAAAACTTAAATTTTAGAATACATCTTAGTGATACATATGTCTTAATTTCTAGTGTTTGTGTTTGTGTGTTAAGTAGCTATTTATTTTAGTTTGCAACGGATTATTGGATGGAAAGTTATGTAAAATTAATAAACCAATTATTATTGATTTCTTGAGTATGCGATTAATAAATAAATAATATTAATTATTGACTTAATATCAAAATTTAATTTTGCGAACAATTAAAAGCGTTGTAAATGATTTTTATCGATAATAATAAACGTTTTTAAATGCCAATTTATATTTTGTTTTCGATAATTATCTACGTTTATACTTGCCAACTTAATATATTTCATCGAATTATAGAAGTTGTAATTGCAGTATATATTTTGTTATCGAATAAGATTGGGTTGTCGAATAAGTTTTTGAAAATATGATTTTACATTTCATCATTATTATGCAATTCAGGGAAATACAAGAGCCTGCTTGTATAAAATGCATCATGATGGATTCCTTCCTGATGAAAAATATTGTTTTCCAAACTGGAAAATTTTTTCTCTTCAGCAAAATCAAACTGATCAGATAATTCGGACTGATCCGGCTCGTCACATATGGCAGTGATCCAACTGCCTAATAATTCATTTAATTCAGATGCAGTTGGACGCCTTAAAGGATCGGATTGCAAACATTGTGTCATTAATTGAATGTAGGCATTTGGAGTACCATCAATTATTTCGGGTCGAAGACCATTACAAATTTCACTAGCTAATTTCAAATCATGTGGTCTTTTACACCAAGGACGAATACCAGCAGAGAGTGTCCACATTAAAATTCCAAAGCTATAAACATCAGAGGCTTTTGTGATTGGATTACCTTGCAAAACTTCAGGAGCCACATAAGGAAGAACTCCATAGGTTTCGTTTGAATCGATTTTATTAGCAGGACCATTCAATCCTAAATCACAGATACGTGTATTAATTGAATCAGGTTCATGCTCTATTAAAATATTACCTCCATGAAGATTTCCATGAAATAATCCCTTCTCATGAATGTATTCAATCCCTCCAGCTATTTCCCAGAGCATATCAATCATATCTCTCCAGCAAAGCATTCCTTGAGTTTCATCAAGATATGAATGTAAGTCTCCGTGTTCATAAAATTTCATTACAAACATGTAATTTGAAGTATGATCTTTAGTTATACCAAATAAGTCTGCAACACTTCCACCATGTAAACAACATTGATATTTATAAAGCTTTATTATAAAATTCATTAAAAAATATTATTAATGCTGAATAAGTACGCAAATAAAATAATGATAACTAAAACTTTACTAACTTGATTCAAAAAATCTTCGCTTATATTTTGCGAATTATTAAGTCGCTTTAGTGCAACTCTTATGGGTCCATTGCGTATCCATTGGTCAGCTTTATCATCCCAAATCCATCGAGGACCTTCCATCCAAATCGCTGAATAAATTGTGCTAAAGGCACCGCCTTTATTTATATTTTCTATAAGGTCAAATTGTTTAAAATCTATATATTCTAAATAATCTACACTTCCAGTTGCATTTAATTGAGTGCTTCTAATAAACTCATCAATACTTATATTTCCGCTTGTCCAATTTCCAAAATTTTCTTTAAAGGCATTACTTTCGCAAGTTTTACACCATCCGTCACTGATTTTTTCTTTTCTACAATCTAAGCATTGTCCAAAAACAGAATAGGCTCCTGTTAATCGTGGCAAGGCAACATCTATAACATCGTTTATATGCAAGGACATTCTACTGTGAAACGTAAATCATGTTAGTATGCTTATGTGAACAATTAAAATGATTTTATTGTTTTTTTTTCTTTCAAGAAAAATTTCCAAATATTTGACTTTGATGAAGAAGGAGAAGAAGAAGGTAAGATTGTCTAATAGTTATGATTAGAGGTTGGAACCGGCTCAAAAATCCTTAACCGGTTAATTAACCGGTTAAATTTAACTCAGGCCGGCACTATAAATTTGGGCAAAACTAGCGAAATTTTGTAATTGCAAAAAAATTTTAATTCTGCCCGAAAATTAAATTTCGGCCAGAGTTAATATTAGTTATTTTACCGGTTAAAAAAAACCTTTAACCGGTTAACAAGATAAATGTCTTAACCGGTCAACTAACCGGTTAAAAATTAACCGGTTCCAACCTCTAGTTATGATCATCAACCCGGCATTAAAAAAGCTCGGATCATGTGACTTATAAATAATCTGTCACACCAACCTTTGTTTTCATTTTTGCAGTTTTTTTATGGTTTGTCAAGGTTGGTTTACTTGTGTTGTTAAGGTAAATTTATTAAAACTATTAGTCACATTAAACATAGATAATCATATGACCCAAACATAAATTCCTGATTTATTCAGAATTCCATTATATAATCTATCTATGGAAGAATTGCTTGGAAAATGACCGTCTTATATTATAATATTATGAGATCATTTTCATAAACAAATCTCCCATGTATATCAATAACCTATATAACATTTCGAGTCAATAATTAGCTATTTGTGATAAAATCACTAATATAATAGAGAACTTTCAAGTTCATAGAAATTGTTCGAATGAAAAAATAAGTCAGGGAGGAAATTAACTATTAAAGACTTACAATTTATTTAAGAAGAAGAAAGTGGCAAAAGGTCTTTTAAGTTTGATTTTTATGAAAATGTCTAAACAGAACCGAATAAAATGTAGCTATCTCTCAAATTTGATATAATTCTTTAGATATTTATATTTTTTAATTTTCCTGAAAGACGCATGACTCAAATGCATTATTTATGCAAGCATGAATATCCTGATTATAATAATACATGTGAATATCATAAACTTCCTTCCTTGATACGAAGCTAATAACTACTCTCCATTCTATTTGTGTTGAAGTTTACGTCATTACGGTTTTTTTATATTTTTTAAAGATAGAGTAAGGAAAAGGGGGATAGTTAATTATATTAGTATAAATTATAAATTATTAAATAATTTTTAGGATTCACTTTTAATCAGGTCTTGTGCTAGTATAATTAGTCTGGAGCGAAGCGTAAAACTATATATATTAGAACGCGATTTCCGCGCGCTCAAAAGTTGAGTCGATACGTAATTGGTTATTTTGTTACACAAGCTCCAAGACCGTTTTTCCGACGAATTGAATTGAAATTTCATATAATGCCAAATTAGGCAAGATGGTTGGTTTCGAAATTTACACCAATAAAAATGATACCCCAATCTGGATAGTTTCCTTTTCTGAAACATTTTAAAATAGAATAAAGAATCATATAAAACCTTTAATGTTAATGAAAAAAATTTTGATTGTATCATGAGGTCAGGGTATGTCCGTCAGAAGTCCTCATGTTTCGGCTCATTTTCAAGGCATACCTTATGATCGATATTAGTAGTCTTTTGTCCTGCAATCAATTTATTGAAATTGTCACTCAATTAAATCTAGTTAATTACTTTCTTTAATTTACTGTTTCAATTCATCCGGTCAACTTCCCCATTCGGATATGATTCTCAAGATCTCGTATTTTCAATATCGCTGAAGTTAGCAAAGCAAAAAAAAACTCACATCAACACATCCTTGTATATTGCTTAATTATACACAGAAAATAATTATGTATATTCATTTCTTAGTATTTGATTGTGATATCCATTATTTTGTCTAAGATATCAATAAAAATCTCACCACTTTCAACTGCAATTGCTTATTTAGTAAAATGATTACAGAAATTTAATAAATTATCTTAATTAGCAATTAAGAAATTAGTCACAACTAACCATAATGTATCATTGACAAAAGGAAATAAAGAAAGGTGAAACTCTAAATGCGATATTTTTTCGACACGTCCATTGATCGACATTTTTAACTATTTTAAAATGTTGGTCAAACATTATGACCAATTTATATTTTTAATTGCAAAATTCTAGAAAAATATTTTTGATGCGTGTATATAACGAACACCAGAAAATTGATTGGCGTAGTAATTGAACGGAAGCTTACATTTCCGTTTCAATTCATTGGACCAATTATAATGAATTTATGTCTTACATAAAAAATTCATTTAACAATTGAAAAGTTTGGTAGTTTTAAGAAGAACTCTGCAAATGCAAACATATTATGTAATGTATATGTTGTACCTCAAGTGTTGACTTGCCTCAGATGCCGACGAGATACTAAATATAGAAATGATAAAGATGATCATCAGTAATGCTGCCCAGACATTATAAAAATGGGCCGGTAATTTAGGCCAGTTGAAATCTGAGGCAATCGACTGACGCACAACATATATACCGACCGTTTTTGTTATATTAGACAATTTTAACATAAAAAATATGTAAGGTTTTGAGTTTTAATGATATTCTATGTTTATTACAATAATTTATTATTTAAATAAAATAAATAAATAAATAAAAAAAACTTATTATCTATAATATTATATACTAATCTTTTTTTTAGAATTACACTATCAAAGGAAATGCTATATAATTAATTACCTTAATAGGAGTATTATTTTCGCAACGTTGCATTTAGAAACCAAAATATTTATAAAAATTCATATAAAATAAAATATATTTTATTTATTAAATATTGACTTTGTATTTTACATCAAAACCATCAGAATAACTAACTCTATAATCTTTCTTTGCATACAATTACATATATTTTGCTGTAAAAGTTGTATAATTATCTTTACTTTTAAGTTTTAAAGCGAAATTTCGCGTCTTTGTAGAACGATAAAATTTTGTTTTACGAAAATTGTTATTATAAATTGCATGATCATAATTTTTACATCGAACCCGAGACAAATCCAGCAATGTACTTAGCCTATTAAGACGCGTTTAATATGGCAGATAAGTAATTTTCAAAATAAAATCAAAGTTAAAAATATTTCAAATTTACTACAAAATTACACGGCTGTATATGATTATTATACTTTGTCCGTGGAGTAATTTTCACGTAGAGTTTATTTAAACTATGAACATGATATTACAATATAAGTTATTAATTATACTTAAAAATATGATTTCAGTAATGAAATAATCGTCTCCTTACGCAATAAAATATTTTATCGGGCATTTTCTATTTGAAGATTTTTGTTAGTATAACTCGTTTATTACGTAAAGATACAATATGCCCGATAAAACAGTTACTCAGCATTACGTGACTCATAATCGTGCCTTACTGGCTGGTATAAGCAATATGATCAGCAAAATAAATTTCACCAATTATATTGCTTATTGCAAATACCACAGTTACTCGGCAATTACGTATTTGTGAAAAGATTGCTTTAAACAATGACGGCTAATTTTATAGCAATTTCATTCTTATTGCCTTCTTCTATTTCATTATTAAAAGTTTTTTAGTTTTATTTTATAAAAAAAAATGCATAAAAAGATTTATTAATGATAATTATAATTTATGATTGATGTTATATTAGTGTATTGTTTAACCTTGCCTTGACATAATAAAATTGCAACTTTGTTATGATAAAAATTGTAATAGAAAATTGATAGGAATGATAGGAAATAAGGTCGAATAATTATACCGTAACTTCACGGGTAATCTGCCACGAAGTGGCAAAATCCACCAATCAAATGCATTGCTTAATGTTAAGTTACACAAAATAATAAAAATAACACAACGATCACGTAATTTCAAATGACATTGTTATCTGTATACAAATGATTTTCATCATATAACCAATGAAATAAAAATGCCGACGAACTACATTTGGTTCAGTTCGAATTTCACTTATTAGTTTATTTCTTCGTGGTGACTTTGATATTCTTATTGTATTACATATTGCACCATATCACAGCTGGGCAGCTGGGCAAATCCTGCTGAGCGAATTATGTCTATTATTAATTTGGACTTCAAGGAGTTGCAATTATGAGAGATATGATGAATGAAGATATCAAAGATCTTATATAATTTTAAAAGAATTTTTATTCGTACTGAATTAAATTTGTAAAATTTATTTTTGTCAACAAGTTTGATTTTGAACAACTCAGCAGTATAACTATTTAAAAAATAAAACCAACCGCGTTGAAAACTTTTAATACATTAAGCGGACTTATTACATGAAAATGTAGATATAATTTCCTTTATAAGAAAGATAAAGAGAAATTTCTTAAAATTTCCG